CGTACAATATCACAACCATGGAAGACGCCAATGTGATAATGCCATCATTACAGACGAGGAGCTTAAGCAGACGTTTAACCAAGGCTATCAGAAGTTATGGTAGCAGCGCAACATTGAAACACATTATCCTGTATTGTGGAACATTGCTGAAAAATACTTTATCACTTTTCCATCATTATACCTAGTCGAAAAAAGTTTCAGTGTTGTTTACAAACATTTTGACAAAACTAAGAAAGTGTTTAAAAATCAACGAACGCGGAGATTTAAGGCTGCATTTCACCAATATTGAACCAGATTTAGCTAGATTGATAGAAAATCATCAGGTTCAACAATCACACTGAATATTATATTTTTTATCTTTACTTTGCGATTTTAATGTTTTTTTTTTTTTTAAATAATTACCTATTTAAGTATTTTTACGTAATTTGTATTAACATTATTAATTACACTTGATATTTACTGAATTTTATTTCTATTTATTTTGTTAAATTTTAATAAGAAAATGATGTCGTTTACTCACTTAACCAACTGCAGAGTTTTTAAATTGGTAAGTATTTTGTATCCATAGGAAGAACTAGAGATAGGATTTTTAAAGTAATTTGGCTATGGTGTATCTGAGGTATCAGTTCATTTTGGAAAAGGGGTCTCTTGTCCAAAATAGTTTGGAATCCCTGGAAGAAATGAACCATATACAATATTAGCCCATACAGTTTGGAAGATCGTCAGTAAATATATGTCAAATCTTTAGGCACACTGTTCCTTTGTTATCAAAGTAATTAAAGTATTTTCAAGAATTAATTATATATACATGGCTACCTCCTAACAAAGTAGCTGAACATTTGCAAATAGTAATTAGAAGCAGGAATTTAAACACTTATAAAATTGTAATTTGTGGCAAAATAACTAGCCCCTGCCAGGGAATAAATTTGTGGCAAACTGACTGACCACGAACAAATCCCGGCTCTATTGTTATTAACAAGTCAACACGTTGTAACCTACCTCACTCAGGTACCTTAAAAATTTAATAATTCCATTTATTAAATATAATGTTGCATTCTTATTAAATTCAAAATCCTTCATTTAACGAAAAATCTCCCAGATAATTAATCTTATTTAAGACACCTAATAAATAATATCTATAACCATGTCCGTAAAATATCCAAATTTCGCGCACGTGTCTGGGAACCTAGACCATATAACATATTTCTTTTCACGAAGTAATTATCATTAAAATACTTAACTCGCTTATCTTTCTAGTTTCGATGTTAAGGCCGATTTCGACAATAAATCAGCCACCCCCTTTGCACCCACATTCGTATTTTTCTGGGCACTAAGACACACAGAGACATTACAAAAAGCCATTAAACTTAGTATAAGAAGAAAGACCCAAAGGAGCTCGGATTCATTCATTTTTTATTATTTAATGTACAAGCATTCATTCATTATTTGTATCCAGTTATATTTCAAGTTCAGTAATCAGTACCTTTCCTAAAACGCTCTTCCTAAACAACGTCTAGCCTACAATACCTCCTATCCCCGAAGGTGTCAACGTCTCGACGCCCAACGTCCTACGTCTTGAACGCTGTCACATTCCGCACCATCTAAGTATTTGCTACCATACATTCTTTCCGACGCCCAACGTCCCATCGTTCTACTTCTCGACGCTTGTCGCCCCTAAATATTTCCTTCATAATATCCTTGTCGGCACCCTTCGTCACGTCTCACACCACCTAAATATTTCTACCGTATGTTTGTCCCAATGCAGTACCGTATTAAATACCTTCCTTTCCACCACGACGCTAGGCGCCTCAACGCAAGGTGACGCTCAACGCAGCGACGTACCTAAATCGACGCCGTCACAACGCTAGATGTCTGTATTTTCAATGGTGAGTCAAAAGATTTATGTAACTTTCTTTGAGATACCACCGGGGTTTCGTTTAAGCGGGGGCTTGACATTTTCTGTAAAATATTATCAATAAACCACATGGCCTTCAGGTCATATACCCCAAAAGACAGGATAGACATCTGTTTTCGATGGGTGAAATTTTGAGTATTTTAATAGAAATCAAGGAAAATCAATATTAAGAAATATACAGGGTTGTATTAAGTTATTTCAATAGAAATTATAATAATCCATATTAAAAATATATACAAGAGTGGGTTGCATTAAGTCATTTCAATAGAAATTATAAAAATCAATATTTTAGAAATATACAGGGATGTGCTATCTTGGATAAATTGTACAAACCAAGATGGTAAAATTTAACAGTAAGTTAACCAACTGGTAATTACACTGCTCGTTAGCTCAAGGGGGGGCCCTTTTATGCTAAGAAACTCGTTCTACTAGGTTTGAAACAAATTATATGTGAAATCAACATAGTAAAGTAACTAACTGGCGAATTGGCGCTGTTCGTTACTTCCGTTGGTCATCACATCTATACTATATAAATATTTACCTAAGAGGGTGTAACCTGTGTATATCTAGAATAGAATCAAAACAACATCAACACAATAGTTAACCAACTGGCGAATTGGCGCTGTTCGTTAACTTCGTTGGTCATCAACTTAAATAAGAATATAAACAACAACACAGTAGTTAACCAACTGGCGAATTGACGCTGTTCGTTAGCTCCGTTGGTCATCAACCTAAATAAAATATATATTGATAGCAAATGAATATGGTCTGCGTTTGAACGGGACTCAAGTGAGATCTCAGTAAATAGTACCAATTGTAATATACTTTGCTAATTATTGCATCACACTGAAGTATGAAAAATAGAAGAGTTTAAATATAAATTTGACTGGTTTTATTTATCAATTTGCACCAAACTTTGCATCGCATCCTGGTTTACCTAAATTAACATTATCACAACGTGGGTATATAAATTATCAATTAATTAACTAGACGATCACTTCTACTACTAGAGGGAAACGGCCAAATACAGTAAGTATAAACTAAAATAAAATAAGCTTGTGAGGTAAATAATATTTCAGAGAGTAAAATAACGAAAAAATAGGGGGTGCCGGGGGTGGGCCGTTACGTCAACTCGCAAAATCACTCTGTTGTCAAAATAGCGACAAATGAGTAGCATTTTGAAGAACCGGCTAGCCGCTCTCCTACACGATTGGCGCTGATGACGTAGCACCTAAAGGTACGTTCTCCTACAAATTCACTGGTCGCTGGTAGCCGCTACCAAGTCGCTAAGGTATTGCCAATAGAACAACGTCCCATTTCGTAGCGAATTAGTTGGTTTCTGTTTATTAGAACATCATTCTTTATCATATTCAGTATTTAATTAAACTGATATCGTGAAATACGAAATAATTCTTTAAATTTCGTTTCATTATCTTTCAGATGACTTTTTATTAAAATTGATTACAATCCTTTTGTTTGTCTATTTTTAAACATAGGTATAATTCTTTCTTCCTGCATTTCTCATTTTGTAGTGTTAAGAGTAAAAGCAGATTTTCCTCTTGAACCTGGTAATCTAACAATATTAAAATAAGTGTCTTTCTAATATTCCATTTTTCACACTCTAGGATATTCGCCAGCGACTACAAATACTGACATGTGTAGGAGAACACTATATGCCTTTGCGACTTGGTAGCAACTACCCGGTAGTACAATGACTAGCGAATTTGTACATAGGTACCTTAACACGGACGGCATCCCGGGCGATATAAAATAATGCCAGACTTTGAAAGTTTATAAGTTTGATAATAACTAATCCTATCGATTTGAAATAAACGTCATAGTTCTTGTAAAATTAAGTTGTATTTATTTTTGATAAAAAATAATAGTTGTTATTAATTTTCCAAGTCAAGGTAGGAAACATAAAAACAAGTGAATTTAACAAGAAGTAGGATTTGCACATGAGTAATAGAGATCATCAATAACGGAAAAGGTTTATTTGAAACACATAACATATGCTTGACCGGTGCAACGCTCGAATTCAGAACTTTTAAGTCGTGACAAATGGAATCATTTACAACAAAATAATGTATTACTCAAGAGCGGTTTAAAGAATTTGAACAAGCAGAGCACCTTTATTTAAAAAAAAAAAAACGAGGAGCATAAAATTATTGAATAGAGTATACAAAGAGCTTTAACATAGTTTAACAAGTATTAAAAGTAATTTTAAAAACCGACTTCAAAATAGTGCAGATGCCGTCACCACATCTTAAACAAATTTATATGGGACCATTCCTGAGGTACCCCCTTACTAACAAAAAAGAATAATAGAAATTGGACAAGGTGGTAAAGAATTATCGCTAAACATACATAAAAAATGATGAGTTTGAAGATTTTTCTCATGGCACCAATTATTAGATTTTGACCAAATTTATATGGGACCGCGCCTGAGGTACCCCTTACTAATAAAAAATAATCATATAAATTGGACAAGGTGGTAAATAATTACCCCTAAACATACATTAAAAATTAAGAGTTTGAAGATTTTTCTAATGGACCCCTTTATTAGATTTTGACCAAATTGATATGGGACCGCCCCTGAAGTATCCCCTTTCTAACTAAAATCGGTCACCATGTTAAAGAATAATCGCTGAACATACCGATGGCTTAAGTGCAAAACGCCGTAACCCACAAAATTTCAAAAAATGGCTTTTCGCGTCATTGGAGTCGTATGTTTTAGCTAACATTATTCAAGTGCGTATTTAAGAATATTAAGGTGATTCTGAAAAGACAAAACTTTGGACGTAACATTTGCCTTTGGAAGATTGAGCCCAATTAAATGTCAATGGAAAAGTTTCATATAACTAAACGAAATTGACAGATTTCTCTAAAACCGTTCCTGATAATTTTGTTTTATATTACCATTAAATTAGTGTCAAATATTTATTATGGCTTTTTTAAATTTAACCAGTTTTCTACTTCCAAAGGTTACGTGCGTATTAGCACTTAAACAAGCGAATTAAATAAACATTATTCGCAATCCTGTGGTATCATCTGTACATAAATAAAGGAAATAAAACAACTTAACTATGACAATAGTTGTATTTATAGTTAACTTTACAAAGTCACCAACATACATTGTTGTCAACTATGAGGCACTATTTAACAGCATTTAATCTTCAATTATATAATAATTCAATATTAAAAATACAATAATTAAATAAAATGTAAAAATATATTTTTTCAGTAGTATAAATATATCACATACAAATCTTTTTAAAATTAATAAACAATTATAAACAGAGATGAACATATTTTTTTTATATAAATCAGGTATTTTTTCTAGTTTATCGTTGTATACTTATTAAAACTGTATTTCAATCATTTTATAAACATTTTAAAAATAACAATATATAAATTTTACAGAACTTAATTTCCCCTTTTCATAAGACTTAAAACACATAACTACCTCTCTGTATATTGTTTTTTAATACCGCATTTGAAAAGTTAGAGGGAAATATTTAGTTTTGTGTTTTGAATGTTTCTAACTTGCTTGATCTGCTTTCTTAAGAAATATTACGTTTTTAATAGTACACGATTCTTATATAAGTTCTTCACCAATACCTATATCCCACGTGACCAAATTGACGACGCCAGTTGACTAAAAGTAAAATTAATAATATCAACAGCAAACAACCCCAAAAAAATGCCACTGACGAAAATAACAATTAAGTTGTCATAAAAGTATCTAAAAATGTAAATTCTATTCAATTTGTTTTACTAGTTCTCGTGGGATAAAGTATTGCTGTGTTCTCAGTGTACCAGAATTTTTAGCAAACTAATATATCGATATGTTGCGACGATAAAGAATTTTCGTTTGCAAAATTTAAAAGCATCTTAAGCAGGGTATTTATTATAAAAGTCAACCCGAGGAAGCAATCATTCATATGGAAAATATTAAATTGGTGTATAATCCTACCATCAGTCAGTTACCTAAGGTATAAAGATTTAAGTTTGCACAAGTAAAAAAATAATACTCGATTGTTATCAGATTGATAACCATTTTCAATGTACAGGTATTTACTAATGATTTAGTTACAGACAGCTAAAAACTCAAGCTGATACATTAATGATTAATGAATGTTTTTTAACAAAAACTAATAATGATAGCTGCACTGCTAAGTAGATGCGATGAAGATAGAATATATATAGGGGCGCTATTGGGAACATCTTTTTGACAACAAAAACACTGAAGGATATCTCTGGACGATTGCATGGTAAATTAAATTTCAAGAAAGGAAAGACAGAAAAAGGCATAGAACTATTAAGAATACAAGAATGATTGGCACAAACAGAAATTACGCGGGCTCAAACAAAAATAAAGGCAACAAAAAATGGAGAAAAATGTTTTTCCGCCTACCTCTATCCAAAGTATACATTTCCTGACCTCATTGCAGGGAGCAAAGTCATACTTTTCCTCCCTAGGGAGGGAAAGTACTTTTACTCCCTAGGGAGGAAAAGTAAAAGTGACGTCATGGTATGTCATAAATGAAATAGCTTATACGGCATTGACGACCTAAACTATATTCTATTATATAAGTATGAATTTTACCGTTTATTTATAGAACACCCTGTATTTTGCAAAACAGTAAAAATCAGTAAATTGTTATTTTAATTTAACGATTTTTACATTAATAATTTGACTTCAATTCATAGATTCATCCGATTTTCGAATTTAGGACAGAGATATTATAGCATGCTATGGTCGATTGACAGATCAGTTTTAAAGTGTGTTACGCTATAATATATCTACAAAATATAAAATAATATTTAAAAAATGAGTGATTCAAGCGAATTTAAAGATATAAATAATACACCACCGGATATTTTGGAACAGGTTAATGCAACAGTTCAATCTCTATTACCCCAAAAATCTAAAGAAAAATACGAAAAACAGTATTTACATTTCAAGCAATGGGCCGAAGAAAAGCATATTCGTACTTACTCAGAAAAATAATTACTCTACCACAAATTAAAAATATGTAGGATGCAAGAATGAAAATAACATGCCTATAATTTATACTATACCTACTTCATAATTTTAGTTCTTTAATAAATTTTGTTTATTAGTTTCATAAATAAATTATTTAAAAATAACTTGTTATTTGAGGGAGGCGGAAAAATCATATGTATTACTTGGGAGTAAAGTGCCTTTTCCTCCCTTGGATGTTTACTGCCCTCCGCTTCGCGTCGGGCAGTAAACATCCTGCGGGAGGAAGTGACACTTTCCTCCCTAGTAATACAAATAGCTATTATCTCTACACCTACGCTAGGAGAGGTTATTGGATAAGTATTATAGTAATGTTTAAAAGCATTAAACACCTGTATCTAATGAGAAAGTTAACGTATGACCATGGGCGTCGCCACACGAGGGCAAGGGAGGCGTCCGCCCCCCTTGATTTGTGAATTTTGACCCACCTTGAAATTGTTTGAACGGCCCCATGCCATATATATATTACAGAATTGTTGATTATTTATCTAAAGCATACGAAAATTTTAGATACAATTCATTTCATTTGACATCGTAACATATCCGAGATATTTGTTGGCCAAAATAAACTAGAAATTTTAGTGTATGACAATAAATGTAATTTTTATTGATTTACAATAAGAAATTACAGATTTATTTTATCATGTATAACTTCGTTTTTGTTCAAATTGGGAATATCTTAAATTTAAGTTAAGCCTCGTTTATTTTAAACAAAGCATATCTTAGTTTTTAATGTCTTTCATAGAACTATTTAAATGTTCACTAATAATATGAACAACTCTGTCATTGACAAACAATATAATAGAAATACAAAAATAAATATAAATTTGATAACACACTATTTTTTTTTCTTAAATATAATTATAATAGAACACAATAAATACAGTACTTTTATCAGATCTTCCATTTGGCAGAAAAACGTACTGAGTATGTTCTCAATCAATTTCTTTAAATTATAAGTATTTGTTACTATTTTTCCAAAAAATAAGACTAAAATTCGAGTATTTTGGTTTCAAGAGAGCTAATTACGTCATGTCATGTTATAAAAGATTTGTTGAACTTTTTTCTGTACTGCATTCATTGGGAACCTCAAGATTTAAACTGATTCAACTGATTTTATGTACAAAATTATGGACCTACATATTTGACAATTTTATATCTTTAACAGTGGGATGCATTAAAGAGAACATTAGGAAAGTAAGTAAAACACAATTTAACAACTTGTTGTGTACCTTCGCAGTCACTTATTGGTCAACATTCAACAGCTTGTTCATATTTGCCAGTTTATTCTACATCGATTAGACAAAGAGGTATGACAATAAAACAATAACAATCCCTGAAATAAATAAGGTACTTAATTTAAATGTGTAACATAGATTAGAGTAGGCGATGTTTCAAGAAATAAAACTACAAAGGCGGTCGTCCCCACTTTGCCTACCACAAAAAGTGGAATGATTCTGATCGCTTCCTCTCGAGGTATATTAGATTATGTATCCCGACTATTTATTAGGCGAATTCATATAAAAAATAGCTAAAAAACCTTTAACCAATTTAAAATAGACGTGTTTTTATTAAAGGGTATTAAAACATGACGCAGCAATCAAATTAAATCGCGGCCTAAGTTTATAGGCGCATATTCTTCACCGATCGTGCCGGGGTTGTGCACCAAGTTTATGAAAAAAAGGGCAAATAGTGCTTCATTTAAGTTTTTCGTTATAAAACAATGGCATTATTAGGTGGCCCAGTTAAATTGCCACCAAATTTCGATCTGCAATCACCAAATGCAGCATCGGAATGGAAGTTTTACCAAACCGCTTTTCAAGACTATTTAGTGCCGACAGGCCCAGACAGCCCACTTGCAAGTATTAAGTTAAGCATCTTACGAAATATCATAGGACATGACGGCGAAAGAATTATGGCAACATTTGAAATTGCCCAAAATGTGGACCAATACCAGAGTATGTTTGACGAAATAGAGAAATATTTTAAACCGAGGAAAGACGAATGCTTTGAAAGATATATGTTCTCTAGAAGGACACAAACAGAGGGTGAGAGTTTCGACCACTTTCTTACAGATTGTCGTCACCTTATTAAGACCTGTAAATACAACACAGTTGACCCAAATCAGACCCAAGAAGACAAAGCCTTGAGAGACAGAATTGTCACATCCAGAGAAGCCCTACTAAGGATGGACGATTTAACTTTAAACGAAGCAATACATTTTTGTAGAACATCTGAAAAAAGTCAGAGCCAGAGTTTGCAGTTTCAAGCTGGAGCAGAAATAAATATGGTAAAGATGAAATCCAAATATGAACATTTTGATAAATCGAGTCTAACTATAGAAGATATGAGTCTGGAAAGAATTTTAAATGTAAGCGGTGACAGACAGTGCATGGTTCCCGAGAATGGCCAACATTTGGTAAGAAATGTGGTAAATGTGAAATTGAAAACCAGTTCGCTGTCTCATGTCCAATCAAAAATGTAAGAAACGTTGAGCAGAGTGATGTATCGAGCTCCGACAGCGAGGAACTGTTCGTTAACGAACTGAAGAAGTTAAGTATGCAGACCAAAAGGTAAGCGATGACTTTTGTGAAGTTTTGACCATCGAAGAGAATAAATTTAAAGTAGGACGACACTGGCGCAGATTGTTGTGTGATACCGCTAAAAAAACTAAAAAATAGATAAACAGTTTATAGTTAGGCCGACACAGTATATTTTAAAAGGTTTTGAGGGTAGTTAGGCTAAAACAATAGGAATTGTAAACTTGCATGTATCATTTAAAGATAAGGAAATTTATGAAGATTTTGTAATCATATATGGAGCAAATCAGATCCTTGTAGGTGGCTAGGCCTGTTTAAATTTAAAGTTAAAAGAATAAATAATGTAAATGAACAAGATTCAAATTTATCTGAGAAAAATAAGTTTATAGAGAAAAATAAAGAGATGTTTACTGGTTTTGGTTGGTTCCCAGGGTAAACATAATATTAAAAACTCGAAATGTGATCAAGACGTAAAATAAAACATAAAATTTAACTTAAGTTTAAGTTAGAACTTAAATTTTAAGTTCTATCTCTGTTGTCCTTCCTTTGGGTATAATTCAATACCTGTTGCGGTATTAGCCAAAGGAGTAGTTGTTTTCTGAAGCGAAACTGTCGCTCGTAATTATGTGATATTGGCTTTGAGTTTTATTTATTTTATTTTAAACACAATATTCCTACAAAACATAATTTAGAGGTAGAATTAGATAGATTAGTGGAAAGAAAGGCTCTTAAAGTCGATGAAATAAATTCTGAGGCAAGCATAAATAGAATGGTTATAGTTGAAAAATTTAACGGGAAAATTAGATTATGTTTAGACTCAATATAAATTATCAAATAGAAAACCTAGATTAGGAGTAAATATAGAAGTGTGCTCAAGTTTAAGAGATATTATTTTACTGTTATTGACCTTTCTGAAGGTTATTACCACCTTGAACTTAATGATGAATCCTCGTGGAAGTGATGTTTTGCCACTCCTTTCGGTATACAGATTTATTGTGTTTTCTTGCAAAATGTTGTAATAGTACATGATGACATGATTTTATATGGTATAACGAAACAAGAACATGATTTAGTAGTAGCTGAAGTTGCTAAAAGGGCTAAAGAAGTTGGGACAAAGTTTAACAAAGATAAACTCCAATATTGTCAGAACCAGGTAAAATTTATGGGACAATTTTTCTCCTAATTTGGCATGCAAATTGATTCTGACAGGGTCCTTAAAAACTTAAAAATGAAATAATCAAAATTTTACATAAATGCCATATAGGTATCAGTAATACCATAAACAAGGCCAGAACTTTATTTTATTGGCCCAGCTTATCTAATGATAACTAACTACATTAAAAGTTGTCGTATATGTGAAAAGTACTTGCCAGCTAACTACAAGGAACCTCTTATGCCTCATAGTGTTCCTAAGTTAAGATTTAATAAAGTACGAGGATATATCAGTATATAACGAGACTGGTGCTATAACTTCTTTCAGAGGTAACATTTTATAACCCAAAAAATGAGACATGAAAGCCTTATATTTAATGTACTACCCCGCAAGTAGGCTTTGATTTAACTTTTGACATTTGTTACAAATTAATTATTGATTTGTCAGTGTTTTGCGTACCCATAGAAAAATTAAAGTGGAACAAAGATACGCGATAAAATTTTGTGTTCGATTGGGTAAAACACCAACTGAAACTTTTGAAATGATTAAAGGTGCATATCTAGATAATAGTTTATCACGATGTAGAGTGTTTGAGTGGCATAAAAAGTTTAAAGATGGTTGTGAATTAGTTGAAGATGAACCTCGTCCCGGTCGACCACAAACTGCGAGAAATGACACAAAAATTGCAGAAATTAACGACTTGATACAAAATGATCGCCGGATTGGCATAAAACGAATTTCTGACAATGTTCATTTGTCTTACGGTACCACTCAAAAAATTATTCATGAAGATTTAGAGTACCGGAAGATCGCGGCAAGATGGATTCTAAAAGTGATGACCGATGAACAAAAAGCGAATCGAGTGACAATTTGTCAGCAGTGGAAAAGGCAATTGCAACGTAACCCACAGTTTTTAAATAATGTGGTTACATGTGACGAAAGTTGGTTTTATCATTACGATCCTGAATTGAAGTCTCAAAGTATGCAATGGAAGCATAAAGGCAGCCCAAGACCGCAGAAGGCCAAAACTGCTGAAAGCGCTGGTAAAGTGATGCACCTGATTTTTTTTGATAAATTTGGCGTTATTTACGATCTCATTGTACCTAGAGGACATACAGTAACAGGGGAGTACTATTCTAATGTACTTCGAGGACCATTAAAGGCAAAATTAAAGAAAAAAAGGCCGCTTTATCAGGACTTTGGCTGCACGCTGCATCACGACAATGCTCCGGCTCATAGATCAATGATTTGTCAACGAACAATTGAAGAATTAGGGGTTGAAATTATGGTTCATCCCCCCTACTCTCCTGACCTTGCTCCATGTGACTTCCATTTGTTTCCTGAAGTCAAAAAAGAATTGAGAGGTAGAAGATTTGAGTCGGATTTAGAGCTCAACAACGATGTGATGGGTATACTAAACAGACTATCAAAAAATGGTTTCTCAGAAGTTTATGATAAGTGGATAAAGCGATGGAATAAGTGTATTCAACAGAATGGAGAGTACTTCGAAGGATAGTTGTTGAATTTTTTTAAATAAATGTTTCGTTGTTATACTATAGCAGCAGTCTCGTTATTTTCTGATACATCCTCGTAGTTGTAGTTACTGTAGAATATTGCAGGAAAAAATTACTTAGTGCTCATGGGCCATTTCTCACATTGGATCGAACTAATTTCCTTAAAAGATAAAACCTCCAAATCTGTCATTTATTGTTTTCAAGATATTTTCACTAGATTTGGCTATCCTGAAATTATTGTAAGTGATAATCTGCCTTTTGTTTTATAAAAGTAAAGATATTACAATTACTTACAACTTGCTCTCCACATTACCATCAGAGCAATGATATGGCAGAAAAAGTAGTAAACATAGTTAAGCAGATTTTAAGGAAAAGATTCGTTTGCGATTTTCGAGAATGTATCTTAAAACATAACTCACTTGTCATAAGTCTTGATGCTACACCTGCACAAAATTTACATAGCAGAGTTTTGAAAACAGAGCTTCCTATCATTTTTAAAAATATGAACCAAAAATAGAAAAAAACATTTATGATAAATTTTGTAAACAAAAACAAATTTCTATAAATCAGCTCTTAGGAATTCGTTGGACTACAAAAAGGGGATAAAGTGGTAATAAAAACTTCAAAAGAAAAAAAACTGGCAGAAGGCAGTAGTTGTAGAAAAAGCAACTGAACCAAGATCTTATTGGGTTTAAAAAGATGGGATTAATAAAATTGTTCGACGTATAATACGGCACAAATGAAAATCTTATCTTCAAAATCAGATCACAAATTTATCTGTGAACTCCAATTGTACCGCAACGAAAGCTCCAGTAGTTTTAATAGTAATATATTCATCCTAATAATATTTTTCCCTCTCAAAACATTAATACTCTGTAAGTTCTCCTCAAAGCTCAGCATTTGGTAGCACCCCAGACTTTACAGGTTTCTCCTTAATACCTCCAAATGTAAGTGGAGTTAAACGGTGAAAATTCGAAGTGTACGCGCTCCGAATTCGGTCGTGTGAAAGGCCCCCGGTCACAGTTTATTGCTAAAGAATCAGTTAGCTCGCTCGGACCAGTTGGATGTTCCAAAATAACATCCACTCCAGGGATACACATTCAGGATGCGCAAAAGACTGCTGTTTGAATAAAGGCGGTTGTCATATATTTTATTGGTGATGATTTGATTGTGTATGCGCCAGGGATACAAATCCGAGTTGCGCAGTGTATAAATTGAAGCGAACTGATTCTTTAGCAATAAACTGTGCCCCGGTGTCTTAATCTTTGAGGGGGAGGGAGGTGTTTGAGTGAAGTTAATCTGTAATGTGAACCGACCTTTAGCGAACTCAAATGAGCTTAGTAATTGTTAAGTGTGACACTTGACGGTTGACAATGACTCGATATTTATTTGTAAAAAATAAAAGGTTTATATCCGATTTAAAATAGACGTGTTTTAATTAAAAGATATTAAAACAACCATTAAAAATTTTATGTGTACGGACATTTTTTTCAGATATCCGAAAGGTCTTTGGCAATCGCCATGTATGGAATCCTACTCTAAGCAATTGTGAATGTAGTTGTTATTCTATTTCTTGAAACATCTTTAGGAATCTATTGTTGTTATCCTTACGTTGTCTTATTGGTGAAAATGAATTCTAATAAAATATATGTTGCACATTAAAATTAACATGTACACCTTTCTTTCATTTTCGTAATTAAAATTACCCTTCTTGTCTAAAGATATGTGTAGAACTTCAATTGGCGAGCCCAAGTATTGGCATTGACTAGCAACTGATATATTGCTGCTTAACTTTACATAAAAAAATATCTATAAAAACTATTGTCATCAGGTGGATTTAAAAAGAATATTTTTGGCACATGCGTATTATACTTGCATTTTACCGAATACTTATGTCAGTTTTTACCAGACACTGGAATAGTTGTTGAATAATACAAATTTCACTAAATTACAACCTGTAAAATCAAATAACATAAATTCTAAAAGGAGCAGATGAACCTGCGAATACACTTTTACAAAAAATACATCTTTCAAAATTAGTACACATTTGAAGAAAATATACCAGCAGTTGTTTTGAATTGGGTCCAGTTTAAAAATAATATCAATGGCGAATTGGATACATTACCTAATTGTAGTGTGTAGAGGCGATTTGAGTCTTATGTTTGTCTAATGCTGATTTTTTTCACAAAAATTAGATGTTTTGCTAACGATATCAGCACCATCAAAAGACGATTGTAAAATAGTTTGACCTCCAATGAAGTTGATTTCTCTACTCTACAGGTATAAAATTCGTATTCAAATAAATGTAAAATACAGCAGGTCATACGTATTATTTAAATTTATATTATAATAGTTTTAATTGATATCTCTGTGGATACTGTAATTCAAATTTCATTACAAAAAAAAATGTTAAAAATATGCATACCCATTTGTATATTTGCAGAAAAAATAATATGCAGTCCATTTTGATGAACTAATTCATAATCCTAAACTTGAAAGTACAATAATTTACAAATAATATAAGTTTTTGGTGGAGTATTTCATTATCATCTAAATATTTCAGGCAAACAACTTCCCAGAAACATATTTTTTTTTTATTTATTTGATTAACAACAGTCAGATTCTAAAAACTCCATATAATTTTTTTCATTTGACTCGAACTAAAGTAACACTGCAATCTGATTGTGTATTTATACAGTGAGCACCATAAGTCTTACCCCCCTATCTAACTCGTTACTGGAGTCTTGTTAGGAAAATCGCCGAGACACGTCGAGTTTTGATTTCTACAATGTACATTTTTGTATAAATAGTTTATCCTTAATTTCATCCCTTACTGGAGGGGAGCAACCCTTTCGAAAAATTTAAATGGCATGGGGTGGTGAGTGATAGCTCATTTGAAAGAGGGTTTTATTCTCTATTCAACCGTGTAAAAAAATTTGAAATTTGCTTCATTAATTTTCGACTAATTGTTGTGACGTGAAGTAAGACTTTTTGCCATTAGAAGGTCACTGTTAGTCTAGTTGCTTTCCTATTTTGTGAGGTTTTGTTATTTTTAAACATTAATAAATCAACACGTAATGAAGCAAATTTCAAAATTTTTTACACGGTTGAATAGAGAATAAAACCCCCTTTCAAATGAGCTATCACTCACCACCCCATGCCATTTAAATTTTTCTAAAGGGTTGCTACCCTCCAGTAAGGGATGAAATTAAGGGTAAACTAATCATGCAAAAATGTACATTGTAGAAATCAAAAATCGACCTGTCTCGGCGATTTTCCTAACAAAACCCCAGTAACGAGTTAGTTAGGGGGGGGTAAGACTTATGATGCTCACTGTATAGTATTTCTTGTATCAAAAAATATTTACACACAATAATTATTCCTATACACTGACCTAGTTATATAATATTATACTCTTTCCTGGTGCTTCCTATTCAGAAGAACTTAATATTGTATATAAAAATATATTTTTTTTGCAAACTATAAGTTACCGAAATTACATGGATTTTGAGAATATTTGTTCTGAATTTTAACTTAAAATATCAATTCTTTAAATGTTTGCGAAGTACATTTATACAATTTTTGAGCCAAATTATAAAACAACTAGATTCTGAGAATTTAAAAAAAAATATATTTAAGCTTGGTTCATGTAATATTGCAATACTGTATAAACGTTATTATTTTATTTTCAGTCGAAGAGTGAAAACATATCAGATTCATATCCACAAGAAATAATTGACATGAAAATATTGGCAAATAGTGATGACATGAAAATATGGACATATAGTGACAGTTTTTACAGTTAAACGAAGATTCAAGATGGAGACAAAAGATACAAAAGAAAACAAAAACTACAAACATATATATGCCAAATCAATCCACCTACATGGTGTACCAAATAAAAGCTTTGCAATAAAAGAGACGAAAATTTCTAAAAATGAGATTAATTAAAATAATGCATTTATTCGGATAAAAAAGATTACAAACACAAATATCAATTTTGGAGTAAAGTAAAAATATAATTTCATAATTTCGGCGAGATCAAAGACCAAAATCTAAACTGTAATCGCCGTACTGGAATCTTAATATGACACTAGAAAAAATATCTTTGAGTTGAACTACACCTACAACTACAAAATGGGACTCGGTAATAATTTCAACAATGAAATTAGTAGTTGAAGACCTGAAAATCAATGAACATCTAAACGAGGAAAACTTAATGCTTTTGAAACGATTCTTCTTCTTCTGTTCCTTTTATGGGCAATGTCGAGACGATTCTTCAAATTCAGTAATTATTTTTACCACCATAATATAATTTTTTTCTTTTAACATTGATTTTGTATATTGTACGATTTGAAAAATAAAATTATAATGCGATATATACATGAACCCAACTCAACTTTTTTTTAGGTTAGAAAACGTTTTTTCATTCAATGTAATACAAGACGTCACTTTAAATTTCTCTTAATATCAACAAATACGTAACACAATGAATTTACTAAAATGTATGTCTCAAATAAGCACGGTTGCAAATTGGCACCAGTACATTTTTAAATCTTAACACAAATTTCCTGAAATAATTAGGGCAAAAATAAAAAAAGTGTATTTTGGGTTTTAGCTTTTAAATACTATAAAATATGGTGGAAAGTCCATAACTTTTAAATATTTGTGAAATATCACTTATTAAAATATTATGCATTAGAAGTAAAACAAACTATAGACTTTCCACCAAGTTTTACTATATACTGAACCCATTTTTAAAAACAATATTATCGTTCGCAGCTGTATTTTTTGTGATAAAAAAGTTGCCCTCACTTGTTGAACTTGAACTTAATTTTAATATCTATTAAATTTTAACACGCTCAATTACACAACACAGAAGACATTTTTTTCTCTCAACTCTTCAAGACATATCTCTTTTACCCTTAAACTAATCTTACCTTATTTTGCAAGAATAAACTGGCTCTTCAAACTCTGTCAAAAACATTTCTTACACTGATCATTTTGAACACCTTGCCCAGTTTAATTTGCCAGTTTACTCGTTTTTTTTTACATATTAAAATATCTGACAAATTTTATAATTCTTATGCTAAATTCAAATTTATACTAACTATACTTGCACTGTTCGACGATTTGCGTAAAAGTTTGTTTGCCTATTGTTGTATTAACTAACTGTATACTTTTGAAAAGTAAGTCTGCTGAAATATCATCAGGTAGATGAGTAAGAAATTGCGCACCTTGTAGAAAATCCATAGTCATCAGAGTGTCTTGATGTAGATGAAGAATGCCTGATAATTAAATATATTATTAACCAATAAAACACTAGTTTATTTCAAACGCTTACCCAATGCAGTTCTGAAAATAAACTCATATCCGTCTCGTAGAAACACATCCCAAACTCTACAAGCAATATCCAGTGGCATTGCCTTTGCAAAAATTGTGTAAATCCAATCTAGCAAATACAAATCCGGCGTCAATCCACTTTTTTCAAAATGTATATGTAACCTTGGTAGATTGTAATTAAATATCTGATCATAAGCATTGTAGTAAGCCTGCATATGGCTTTGATTTAGAGTGAATGCCGATAAATGTAAAGGTTGATTCAACAGGTTAGAAAAACAGATAAAAGCATCACAAGGTTCCATATTTAAAATAAGTATGGCAGCGATGTATGACATTCCTTGAACATAACCCACATCTGGCCTATACGACACATAAGCGGCAAGAAGAGAATGCAAAGTTTCAGAATATGGTCCTCCTTCTTGAAAAATACCTAAATGTGGAAATGTTCTGGATATGTCCAGCTGGATAACATTCATGGAGCTTTCTTGGTCTGCATCAGAATCTGATTGTAATGTTTCAGGACTATTTAAGCGATTATGAGCTCGACTAAGACATATGTCATACAATTGGTGAGTGAGGTTTAAGTCATTCCCTATTGCTAGTATCCAAACTTTTCCTCTAACACTGGATGGAAGGCCTTGCCACCAAAGATCAACTGTTTTTTTATTGGAACACCTGAAATAATTATTTATGATACTATTACTCGTAAATTAGAACTTAATGACAATTTAAACAATAAAAATCAAAATCTATTATGTAACAGACTATGCTCTGTCGTCACGACATAGGCAATCGACATTGCTACTGTCGTTAAGAAAATTTGGAATATATCTGTCTCACTATTTTTAGCCTTATTCTCTTGTACATAAAATTCAATAAAAACTGTCAATACGATTATCTGTAATTAGGCATTCCAAACAAAATGGCTACCAGTGGGTTTTGACAGGTTATCATATGGCAAAATTATAGCAACCCTGTAGGCCTGGTGATTTGACAAGGTCAGTGAAATAGATAGTTACATAGATTGATCATCCATATTTTTCAAAATAAACATAAGCTTATGCCTTGAATAAAAATGTATGTAATTATTTTTTTACTATATTTAAAGAATAAATATTGGTTTGTAAACACATTTTTGCAAAATCGATTTTGATTAATGAGTACTTGGAGGCAATATGGCCGCTCGTAAACGACCCGCTTTGAGCAATCTGTATAACTATATATGTATTACTGACCCTGTCAATGACACCAGGCTCACAGGGTTGCTACATCTAAATGTCAGTTCCCACTGATCAGCAGTTTGACAGGTCGTTGGACTGGCATCATCATGGCTTGTAACAATTTGGAAAAATTTTAAGTTGTCTGCAAATAATAAAGTTTTGCTGTTACGGAAACAATGAATTATATCATTAATAAATAAGTTAAATAGTAAGGGTCCTAGATGTGACCCCTGAGGAACACCTGACGTTATTTGAAATAAGTTAGAATAGTGGTGATTAGCTCTAACCATTTAAGTTCTATTAGTAAGAAAGCTACCAATCCATTTCAGTAATACCCCACCCAGACCATATTTGTTAAGCTCTTGAAGTAAGGCTTTGGAAAAGTAAGTATAGACAGAATCGATTTTTAAACCTTTTTCCAAGGCTACTGACAAGAAGTTGATATAAGTGACTAAATTTAACTCTGTTGATTTTCCAGAACAAGAACCATATTGTTTTTCAATTATGATGCCGGAGCAGTCATAAGTGAGGTAATCAGTTATAATGTTTTCAACAATTTAGGTATTGTGCTGAGAATTGAGGTGGGTCAATAATTTTTGATTTCAGATTTTCTAACGATTTGTATATTGGGATGACAAGAATGTTTCCAATAAACTGAAAAATCTCCTGTCGATTGATTTATTCAAAATATGGAAAAGAGGGCGAGACAGTATGAAGCTGCAATTCCTTAGTAGGATGGGAGGAATAATCTCAGGACCTGGCCCTTTTTTGTATCAAGGTTTGACAAGTTATCAGAAATGGTCGAAATTGGTATGTAGTATGAGGAAACATTAACTTTAGATTCAATTTGGTCATCGTTTTATTTTAGGATATGTGTAGTGTAAACTGAAGAAAAATGCCTTGCAAACAGATTTGCTACTTCACTACCTCAACATGCAAAGGAGTCCTCCAAATTCATTTTCAGTGTTTGTTTTCTGTTTTACCTCCTAAATATTGTTGAAATACACTTTCTATATGTAAGGCCCACCTATCCTAATAGGTAGTGTAGTAGAGTTTATCCAATGTTATATACAGGATGTTCCCTTAGTGCATAATTGCTCGATATTTCAATTTATGTTAGATACGCAAAAATAAGTTTTAAATAAAAGTTAAATAGATTTGAAAAAATAACATTTTAAAAATATTTTTGGGTATACAGGGAGTTGCGTTTTTGTCTAGCAAATAAAATGTATATTTTTTAGATATAACACCCTGTATTTTATTTCAATTTTAGAATGGTCTGGTAATACTGTATTCAACTCTAGAATTTTTATAAAAAATATTACAGGGTTGCCAACAGGGGCGGTTTCTCCATTGGTTCATTTGTGCAGTGAACAGCCAGTTACATTTCATAAAAACACATTATCTTAAAATAATAACAAAAATATTAATTCAATTTTAATAATTTTATTGTTTTTATATGTGTCAATATCTATTTTTGGGTACGCCACTGCGCTCTGGCTAATCGTGTTTTCGTGACGCGCTTTTATAAACGAGCCCGCGGGAGTGAGAAGCGTTCTTGAAAATCTTTAGCTAAAAAGAGATGTCACAGTGATAATAAATCCCTGAAACGTAGTGAAACAATGATAAAATAATTTAAATCCGCCTAATTTGCGCAACGCACACCGTGACGTTACAACGTAGGGCGGAGCATACCAATCTTTCAAATCATAGATATAGAGAAGCAATGACGATACTAAAAATGTTTACACTTTTGTATTACTCTTTTACGGCATATGTCAAACTCGAGCTAGTCAGTTTTGGTGATAATAAATGCCATTTTTTTAAAATAGGGTGATATAAATGATATAAAAACATTTTCATTCCACCAATCTTTAAATATAAAATCATTAACTTATTAATCAAAATATGACTCCTCTTGTCATATCACAAAATAATGTTCATGTTATGTCTCTACCTACTTAAGGTGCGTTTAGTCAGCCTGATTTAGTTTTAAGCATTAACATAAGACATTAACATAAAAGTTAATTTCAATACATTTTAATGTACCTGTTTATACAGAATAACATAAGCATAAACATTAACATAAATTTAGTGAAGATAAATAAAATCCAACTTAAGGTGCGTTTAGTCAGCCTGATTTTGTTTTAAGCACTAACATAGAAATTAACATAAACATTAATTTAAGGATTTTAAAACAAAACCGTTTATACAGAAAATTTAAGCATTAACATAAGGTTTGACAAATCATACAATTAAAATGGAAAAAAGGCGTATGGGAGCTGCTTCTAAAATTGCTCTGCTAACTATCTCACAATTACTATTAATAAAAGTGCAGAAAAAGAGTTTAGAAGTTCAAAAGTTTAAAATTAGGAAACTAGCTTGACCTCACTTTTTGAACGCACATGCGCAATTGTATTTTCGACATAAATTTAAGCATTAAGTTGGATTTTATTTATCTTCAATAAGTTTATGTTAATGTTTATGCTTATGTTATTCTGTATAAACAGGTACATTGAAATGTATTGAAATTAACTTTTATGTTAATGTCTATGTTAATGCTTAAAACTAAATCAGGCTGACTAAACGCACCTTTAATGCTTAAATTTATGTCGAAAATACAATTGCGCACGTTGAAAAAGTGAGGTTAAGCTATTTTCCTAACTTTAAACTTTGGAACTTCTAAACTCTTTTTCTGTACTTTTATTAATAGTAATTGTGAGATAGTTCGCAGAGCAATTTCAAAAGCAGCTACCTTCGAATTTTTTCCATTTTGTATGATTTGTCAAAGCTTATGTTAATGCTTAAATTTTCTGTATAAATGGTTTTGTTTTAAAATTCTTAAATTAATGTTTATGTTAATGTCTATGTTAATGCTTAAAACTAAATCAGGCTGAGTAAACGCACCTTTAATTATCTATGTTTAAACTCCAATCAAATTCTAAAAATCAACATAATATAAGAATTTTAATTGTGTATTGTATTTATTAAAAATAAAGTTTAAATAAAACTGCAAAAAACGTCAGGTAAAAAATTTACTATTATTTTTGAGGTTATGTATTTCCAAATTACAGTTTTAATTATTTTGTTTTTTGTTCCAGAGTCTATAGAATATACCCAAGAATATATACAGAATATACCCAACTATACATTGAGCAAATTTTTTTGTTTCCAACAAAAGACAAACAAAGTTTTAAAAAAGTATGACAATTTTATTATATATTTTATTAAGGGCCAGTCTTTTGACCAAGTTGAAAGTAACAAGTAACTACTTGCTGATTAAACTGTAGGGCTATTGTTTGTTAATCTGTCGAGTAAACTTTACTCAGAGGTGAAAAGATCGACCCTTAAACAAGGATAATTTCTTGACTGTAGTACAATTTTATATGAATAATGGTTTATTTTGTAGGTTGTCCCTTGAAGTTATAGAAAAATGCCCTATCTATAAATGCCAGAGGTACTGATAAACAATGTCAGACTGATATAGCACTCAGGATTTTATAAACTTACATTACAGTTTTTAAGACGATATAAAATATAAATATTGCACTGGCCTAAATTAATTCAAGAAACTTAATAGTTGTGTCTATGTTAGGTACGTACCTATATCATGAAGACTAAATTAAATATGTACCGATATCTCAGGGTTCGAAAATATCATGATATTTATATAAATATCATATCACATGATATATATCTGATATATATCAGATATATATCCGATACATATCATTTTTAAAATTAAATTATTGAATTAAAAAACAGTATTGTTTCTTGCACTAACTATATTTTGAATTTTAACAAAAACCAATATTCTAAACAACAAAACCGTTTATTCTAACTCAAATTAAAAAAAAACAAAAATAATTAATAAAAAAACAGATTTTAACATTATTTTATAACATTAATATTTTAAGACAAACACATATAAATCGCTAGTTATTGTACTTTTATTCAGGGGCGTATTGACATTTTCGGATGTTCAGAATGGTGGAAAACATTTTTAATTTAATAAATAGAATTATCGAATATATCGGATATATATCAAGGTATAAATATCATGATTCATAACTATTGGGACATAGGCTAAGGGCAGGTTATTTGTACAAAAATATGATGACAGGGCCAAATATACCTTAATAAAATATTGCTGTGGAATAAGATACAGGGTGTTAAAGTTGAATTTTTTTTTTATAATATCACTGTATATTAATGAATTGTTATCAAAATCGGCACAGAGGCATATCTTTGGACAGGGGATAATATTTTATGTATAATTTCTCATTTTGTTACGGGGGACGCCACTTGAATGATTACTAATGATGAAATTAAGTGGTAGCTTTTTTTGACAAAACTTTTTAGTATTTTTGATTGGAAAATATGATGTAAACGTCATTTCTACGTAATATTGGTACTCTTGTTTAAACACGATAATTTTACCCGTTTTCGAGAAAAACGCAATTGAGCAGCTCACAAGTTAAAAAAATATTTCACATATGAAAAGTGTGCTTTGGAGTGTCAGATAATTGTGTTTGGTACATGTAATTTCTTGACAGTGAATTATTTTTGCTGTTTGATTATAGTCTATTATTATTATTTATCACCCTGTATCTTATTCCACAACAATATTTTATTAAGGTATATTTGGTCCTATCGCCATATTTTGCTCCAAATAATCTGACCTTATGTCCCAATAGTTATGAATCACCCTGTATATCGTGATATATATCACTTGATATATATCCTCCGAACCCTGCGATATCTATCTGGGTTTTTAAACTATGTAGACATAGTGCAGTTTTATATAGGTTATATTTTTAAAATCAGCTCATCGAGGCCTTTTCAAGGTATTCTATACCATGTATAGTGCTGTCACAATATAAGTTTACTTTAAAAAAAGATAACGCTATGTTCAATGTTCAATAAACTTACAAGTTAAACGTTAAACAACACTATTTAACTCTTACGTTAGTCCTACTATTTGTAGAGGCATGTTGGAGGTATAAGACACTAGGTATATCATAGAAAATTTGTTATCAGAACATAGAAATATGTTACAAAAACCAACAATTCAATTATGTTAAAAAAAAGTTTTAATAGTTAGATTATTAGTAAACAATACATATTGTGACAATAATTGGGGCCAACTGAATTTCTTGTCAAAATATAATTATTATATGTAAATATGGAACACGAAAAGTATTCAACCAACATTCAGTCTGTTTTACTAAAAAGCTGACTAGAATGACAGCACAGTTTATCTCCGAAGTACTGATATACCTAATAAATAATTTGTATTTAAAAATGGGGGTTAAAGGGGGGTTAAAATTAAAAAAGAATCAAATAAAAATGAAAAGCGATATTAACTAGACATTTTTAGTAGAAATCAAGCTCTATAAGGAGATGAGGCCTATTGATTGTGAAAAAAATTGAATAAAAGTGGGGGGGGGGTTCAGGTGGGTTGAAATATTTAAAATAAATCTAACTCAAAAACAAATAATAATATCAATTTTATTCAGATGACTTGGACATTACATTTATCGATTAACTGTATGATTTACCAATATATTAACAGATGAGGAGCCAAAAGATATCAGCACTGAACTTTTCATATACAAGCTTATCATGAAAAATTGTGTGCAGGATACTTTCCCAAACATTGAGATAGCTCTAAGGATACATCTAATTTTGATGAAAATTAACGGCAGTGGTGAGTGCTTCTTCTCAAAACTTTCATTGATAACCAATGAAGAACATCTATGAATCAGGAACAACTTGGATATTATGAGTCGAGTGAACTTTAGTGACATTTAATTGTTATTTGTTAGTTTTATTACTATACTTTTTAATGAAAAATTGAATCATTTTTACAGAATTGCTCTGCATAAATAAATTTTGTGAATAAACTTGTTCATTTTATTTCGTGTTTTTGCATTATGTTTACAACACCTTGAAACAATGAGCCTCCCACCAAAATGGGCCCTTGGCCACTCACATCTTAAATCCGGCTCTGGGTAAATCAGATAGTGAAAAGCTGGTTTCAATGGGTGAAATATAAAAAAAATTAAAATTTTGTTGTTTTTTTTTAATTTGAAAATTGTATGTGAACTTTTAACTTTTTTTTTAACTAAATTTATTTGTACTAGCTCTATTGCTGTAGGTACTATGTATTAGGACTTCCTATATCAATAAAGTTTCTTTCTTTCAGTCAAGGTTTTTTAATCATTAAGATTTAAATTCAAAAACAAAATAGTATCTTCTACTTACATTGAATTCCAATGTGGCAGGACATTTTGTGTAAAATGTTTAGTGGCAAATGCTTGTTGTTCCTCTAATTTCAATTGAAGTTTCTGCTGTTTTTGTTTAGCTGCAGAACTTTGAGCTTCTTTCTTTTTTGCAGCAGCCAAAATTGCTTTATATTCATCTTTATGTTTCTGCTCTTCTTTTTGTGACTTTGCAGGTAGACTTGAAGGCCTTTTTAACAAAAATTATTTACTCATTCATATGTTCTAAATATATTGAGTTAATTATGTATAAAAAAAACAGGTCATTTTTGGGTAATTTTTAAATACCTTTCATGTTGTATTAAGGCAGAAGAACTAGCTACAACGTGAATGGGCGAAACAGGAGCACTATCATCATTGGGTTGTTTACTAAAAATTTTCCAGACACTGGTTCCTGGTGTAGGTTCTGTTGAAGCTCCTTTCCAGGTAAATATATGTCTAAAAGATAGAATATTATTATAAATTGTTGTTTTCTTTAATGATATAAAAATCTAAATAGATTCCTCTTGTCTGTTATGGAAATATAAGAAATCCTTTAATAGTTACAATGTATTTGTTTAAAAGTTGAATTTTTATTTAACATTAAAAAATAGAATTTCTTGTTTCTTGCAACTAACTACCTACTTAAAATTGTAGGTAATAACTTATGAATTTAGAAATGCTATTGAATAAATACTATTTAATTTAATCAATTGAGATATAATTTGATAACGGCACAAAATTAGACTCATTAGAAATAAAAAATATAATTATATAAATAGAATAAGAGTCCAAGAAAATGTTTCTTTGTTAAAATAAATAATCCTAATATGCACATCAAAAGTTAATGCTGTTGTTATAGCCAGTTATGATCATAGTTATCATAATTGCCATACCTTACTGATATAATTAATTAAATAAGTCACATTACTGTTTAATCTATGTAAAAATATAATTGAATAGTTTTATTCAAAACTCGTTTTATTTTCAAGCTCAATTATTATTATTATATATAGATTTTTACGTTCTTTTAAACTTACTTTGAGAAAAAATTGGTCAAACTCTTCCTCCTAGGTTTAAAATTAGATATATCCAAACTGGACAAAGATCTTTCTTCTGATCCAATTAAACTGCCAGAAGTTGATTGGTCACTAATAGCACTTAGGCTAGAAATAGTGCTTGAAAATGACCCTGCTTCTGTCCTCCTATGTCCTGATTTCTTAACGTAACCCTCATTATTGCTAAAGTCTTTATAATTTTTAGTATCAGTCTTAGTTGTGTCTACTAAATGTAACTGTTTAGTTATGGGACTATATGCTAAGGATATGTTCTGCAATGCCTCATTAAAAGAGAGTTTATTTTTAATATTCGAATTATCAACTTGATCACAATTGGAGAGTTCTTGAGTATTTGTATTTTTTGTAGGACTTTTAGAAGTAGAAGACTGGGTGTCTACATTTTTCAGTTTTTCATATCTTTCTGGCCAAGTTCTAAACGATTTAAACCAAGATTCGCTTTTGGGACTTGGCGAATTGTCTTCATTTTGGGATTTATGATCATATTCATCTAGAGAAAGGTCCAAATAAATTTCATCTTTATTAGTACAGTCTGGTAAACTTTGGCTTTTAAAATCTAAATTATGTGGATATTCAAGAATATCCGAAACACATTCATCCTGTAACTTATTTTCTATTTTATTTGCTGAGTCTCCATTTAATAAGTTCACATTAACAACTTGTTTATCTTTTGCTTTGTCATGAGATTCGTAATTTTTCATTATTCATTTGGTCTAATGTTCATTTACCTGTATTAAATATAACGTAAAACAGAATTTATAATATCAAAGATATATTCCATTTGGAACAGTTCGTTTTTGTTTATTTATCCTAAAAAATACTTTTATTAAACTTTAAAAGCCATGTTGAAATTTATAACTAATGAACCGTCAACGTCAAAATAAATAGAAAACAACATATAGATTGATCACTAAAAAGCGGGTCGCAGAGGATTCATGCTTTGTGGGTCGCATTCTTTCCAAGTGCTCACTAAACAGAGTCGTTCTAGTCCAAATGTGTTTAAAAAATCAAATTTCGGCCTCTGAATATTTAGAAAAAATAATTACCTTACGTTTTACTTCAAGATACGAACTTATGTTAAGTTTAAAAACATATTTTTTTTTTTAGTTTTAAAGTGTAGTTTTTTATACCTAGTAAAAAAATAGGAGATCTAGACCACTCCCTTGTTTCATAAATAACACTATATGAAACACATAATTGCAATTGTATAATACACAACTTAAGAATGTGAACAATTTGGATATTGGCTATCAACAAGTTTGTATGGGCTGATTCCACCTTTGTGTTAAACGAAGTTTAAATTACTAAGGACCGATTCCACCGTTGTGTTAAACTAAGTTTAAAATTACATTTTTACATGTGTCATTTTAATCTGCGTTTAACACAACGGTGGAATCGGCCCTAAGGCCCGATTCCACCGTTGTATTAAACGGAGATTAAAATGACATTGTTAGGGCCGATTCCACCGTTATGTTAAACGGAGATTAAAATGACATTGTTAATGTAAAAATGTCATTTTAAACTTCGTTTAACACAACGGTGGCATTGGTCCTAAATGTAAAAATGTCATTTTAAACTTCGTTTAACACAACGGTGGAATCATGGTGGAATCGATCCTTAGCGAAGATTAAAATGACATTGTTAATGTAAAAATGTAATTTTAAACTTCGCTTAGAGCCGATTCCACCGTTGTGTTAAACGGAAATTAAAATGACATTATTAATGTTAAAATATCATTTTAAACTTCGTTTAACACAACGGTGTAATCGGTCCTTAGTTATTTAAACTTCTGGAATTTGCCTAAAGAGACACGTAAAACCGAACTACTTGGATATTTATTTTATTCCTCACATTTTAAAAGCAGATACACAAATTATTCAATAAGATTAATTTTTGTGTAAAGTTTACTAAGGACAGATTCCACCGTTGTGTTAAACGAAGTTTAAAGTGACATTTTTACATTAATAATATCATTTTAATCTCTATTTAACACAACGGTGGAATCGACCTTTAGGACCGATTCCACCGTTGTGTTAAACGAAGTTTAAAATTACATTTTGACATTAACAATGTCATTTTAATCTCCGTTTAACACAACGGTGGAATCCGTCCTTAGTAATTTAAATTTCGTTTAACACAACGATGGAATCGGTTGTTACTTTGCTACAACATTTTTAAATAAAACCATTTCTGTAAATAAAAACAGGTAATCACGTTTTCGTCGTCCAATTTAAATATGAATGAGCAAACTATATTATACATATATCATTGAAACAACCGCACAACTAAAAATCACAGGGAATTATAATTATATCATTTAGGCAAATTTTATTTTATAGTCATATGGTTTATTAGAGCTACTTATTTTCCAAGATTGTTCTTTCTATGGAATACTCCCCAAGTTCTTTCATAACAATTATTCTAGTTCAAAAATTTAATGACGTCATATAACATTAATTACATTTTCTATCATAATAGGCTTGCATCAATTTAAAATTAAATAACAAAATATGCTTTAAAATAAGTATAGCAGCAAATTTTCTATAAAATATTGAAACTATCTTTTTAAATATTTGCGAAGTGGCGAAAGATAAGCTAAAAGTGACACTGAAAAAGTCAAATGTCAAACAATTTTTGGGGTTGGCATCCTGAAACTTTTTATTGTCTTGTTTAGGGCACAGGCTTATTTATGTTTAAAAAAAATATTTCGTGGATCAAAAGGCTACGAAGAGGCTTACTTGTTTTTCAATTACATTATTATAGGTGAATGTAACGGTATTTTGGAATGGTACTGATAGTTTTAGGTTAATAGTTATAGGAGGCAAATTTTATTATGAACTGAAGAGAGCAGACATGGCGGCTACTAGAAAATTACAAGGTAAGTGAAATTTTCGATGTTTTTCAATGATAAGTAGAACTCAAATCAGTGTATTGACGATATGGTTTTTTTGGAGACACTACTAGCACAGTGTTACAACTACAGTTCGTTCAGATATAAAACTCTTTGTATAAACTAATGTTTTAGTGAAATATGTGATCCAAGATCAAGATGTAGAACACAGATTGTATTTTTTCAGGAGAAATAGATCGCTGCCTTAAAAAAGTTACTGAAGGTGTTGAGACTTTTGAAGACATCTGGCAAAAAGTCCACAATGCAGCCAACAGTAATCAAAAGGAAAAATATGAGGCTGATCTCAAGAAGGAAATTAAGAAGTTGCAAAGGCTAAGGGATCAAATTAAAAGTTGGATAGCCTCTGCTGAAATTAAAGATAAGAGTGTTTTAATGGACAACAGAAAACTCATAGAAACGGTATGTGCAAAATTTAGTGGTTGTAATATAAATGCACATCAGAAATTTTTAGTTGTCATAATAGCACTTTTATAAAAGTCAAATTTTGACACAATCTTTTTAAACTTTGTGAAATTTTATTAGTTAATTCATTATTACTTTTGTAAGTACAATTATATTCTTTAAAACTATGTCTAATTTTCTTTTACATTATTTTTTTGCATAACCTATAAAAATGTGATAATTTGTAAAATAACATTGGTGGACTCCAGCTTGTAGTTAGTGTAGGTAATTTCCATATAATTAGGAACAGGTTCTTATATACTTTTGTATGAATAAATTTTATTTTAACAGTAAGCAATGTATAATTTGGTAAATAACATATACTTACTGATGTGAATAGTAATTTACATGTCGTTATCCTTTCTTACACATAAAAAAAATCATGTTCTTTGATTTTACTAAAATTAAAATATTTTGCAGATTTTTCTGTTTAGAAATACATTACATGACAATAGATGTAGTCATTTCCTTCAAGTTATATGTTGTTTTTCAAAATTTATATATACATACATTTGGAGGGTGATTCTACACATTAAAATAATGATCAAATTTGTTTCTTAAAAAAGGATCACATAAAGCTTTACTTTTTTTGGGGGCACTACATATTCAACTTTAATGATACCTAGGTCATAAAAAAATAAAGCAATCCAAATCACAATCTTTATTCATATCTAAATTTACTTAAATATATAAATCTAATTAGCTTTAATTACAGTTCTAAAAGGAAATGTACAATTCGTAAAAGAAACAAAAACAGCAATACTAAATAAAAATATGCATTGCATACATTTTACATAAATAATCAGACTAGTCATTATTTTGTAATAACAGTTTATGCTTTTCAGTTTTGAATTATTCAAAATAGTATTTGAATGTAAAGCTTTTTTATATATTTATATACAGAATCACCACCTAAATTAATGACTAAACTTTTAAGAATACTCTACATAAGTATCAGGGGGCCTCTCACTCCAGAAAAAAACTTAAAGATACTGCCCAAAGAATTGCCTGTTTTTATTTGCTAATGCACTATGGGTATTACTAGCTATTGCTAAGGTATTGTTTAGGCACACAATAATTTACTGCCAAGTAATATCAATTGTGTCACCTAATTTCTTGTACTGCATGGTACTCCCTCTAAAATGTTTGCCTTGGTGTACATCTGAATTATTTCCAGTATTTGAAAAAAAAAATCGTTTATCTACTGCCAAATGGGGAAGTAATACCTGGTTGTACCTGATAGTTCACTATCCAGGACTAATAGTTATTGCCAGAGATATTGGCAGTATTGCTTAGGTCTACAAAAATGATCTACTGCAAAGTACTTGTTTAGCATTGTAAACTACTTCCAATGTAATGCCACCTAATTCGATGTACTGTCTCAACTGTCTGATAATGCAGAAGTAATTTTTGTCTTAGTGTACATCTACCAAAGTTATAGACCCCCTGATAAGTTATTTATTTTACATAAACAGTTGTTTGTTTTGTATAAAACAAGTGAAATATAATTTTAATTATTTGTTAATATAATATATTATGTATTTAATTTTGCTTCCAAATTTAGGTACAGAAATTATCTTATTTTTTTTTTAATCCATAAATACTTCAAATATTAATAATTGTTATCAGTTCTTATCAAATATTGATTATCAAATATTGTTATGAATTGCAGTATAAATACAATATCTGCATTAGTGCATGTTTAATATACAAATAGGGTTATTTTTAATAATAAAACTGATTATAATCCATAAAAAATGTGAGTTCTAGCTGTTTTGTTACTTTATAGCAAATGGAGAGGTTCAAAGTTGTAGAACGGGAAACTAAAACAAAAGCATATTCAAAAGAAGGATTAGGGGCTGCTCAGAAATTAGATCCAGCTCAGAAAGAGCGTGATGAAATACAACATTGGTTAGCACATTCTATAGAAAAACTTAATATTGGTGTAAGTATGTAAACGTTAACACAGTAAGATATTCAGAGTATTTCTAAATTTCATTGCTAAATTTTAATTTTAATATTTAAAAACAATGAACTTGGTCATTTTAGTAATTCTAAATTAATATCTTGCTTGAAATATTTCTAGTGTCTGTATTCTACTAAGAACCAATTAACATTTGATATTTTTTAATTTTCCGTTAATTTCTATCTTGAAATGTTATTGAATATCCATTAAATAATTTAATGTTTATTGGTATTATTTATTTACATTTTGAATAGTGAAATACCTACATAATTACAATTTAATTTTACAAAGTAATTTAAATTATTTATTATTCAATTTTGGAAATATTTATATTAAATGAACACTAGTTGTCAATATGTAAATATTATGTTTAATATATTATACAATTTATTCTCTAAATACCTAGTAAGCGGATATCATAGCCATGTGCTTTGGTAGCTCAGTTGGTAAGAATATGGACAGTTTAGTCCGAGGCCCCAGGTTCGACTCCTGGCTGATGTGTACTCATTTTTTCTTTCTTTAATTCTCTGTTTTTCTTTGGTATGTTTTTACTTTGGAGATATGAGGGTGTATTTTTCATAGGTGGAATTGGGGGTAATTCATTTTCATATTTCCAAAATAGCTTCTTAAAATTGGTTATTTCTTTCTAATTTTGCATTATAAACAGATATTTAAATTTAGTTCCTGAATAAAACTTTATTTTCACAATGAATCTGTAATAACTTCTCAATTTAATGTTTTTGTTTCTTTTCCAGACTGATAGTTTTGAATCAGAGATTGAACAACTCTTATCAAATAAAAAGAAAAAACTTGATAAAGATAAACAAGATAGAATAGATGAACTGAAATCTAGATTAGAAAAACATAGGTTTCACATAAGGAAATTAGAGACCTTATTAAGGATGTTGGATAATATGTCTGTTGAAGTTCAACAGGTAATGTATATTTTAGTTTATACAGGGTGTCCGGAAGTTGCGCAACCATATTTTTCTATATAAGAATTTGCTTCCTGTGGGTGCTGGAAGTCAATAAAGTCAAATAAAAACCTGTTTTTTCTCTCTCCAGAATTGAACAATTTTAAAAGATAAAACTGAGTATGAATACTAGGTATTTTATGGCCAATTAAAAGCAGAAGGAATAATTTTTCTATTTCGATCATAAGCATCTCATGAAGGGGAGGGCAATGGCCATTTTCCCAAATTTTTTACCTGTCAATTTTTGACATTTCTGGCATTAAAATAGGAAATTGGAGTTTTTATTAAAAAAAGTTACTCTTGTTTGAAGTCGCCATGATCTATCCTTTCAAAAAAACAATGGATTTGAACTTTTCATGTCGCCATGCTTAACATAACAAAGATTCCTACAGGTAGCGTTCTGTATATACAAATATTACCAACGATATAAATTATATATCAATAATATGTTTATTACTAAATTAAATTTATTAAATATGATATAATAATTTAATTCAACAAGTGTTCAACATGACCTTCCTGTATACAAGTTCTAATCTGATGGTGACACACTTTTTAACTAACTGTAATCAATCAGCGCATATTCATTTTTTACATGCAATAATAGGTAATATTTTATATACATAGATGACATTAAGTTCATATAGTCAGTCAAAAACATTAATAAAAAATAACCATATATTGCATTAATTATTCTGAACACGCAATTTCCGAACACCCTCTATGCATACAGTACTAGGAATTTGTTGATGTCCCATGCATTATTCTAACGTCCGTGTTCACAAAACATTTTTAAAGTTACCTATAAGTAAATCCTTAAATATAGAAATGTCAGTTCAGAAAAAAAGTAGAGTTGAACCTTGACGTGAATTCCTATTGAGATGTAAAATTAAAATAAATGATTGTATTAATAGGTTTTCCTCAAATTATTAACAAATTAAATATTAGTTAATATTTTTCTGGAAAATATTTAAGAATACGATAGAAAGAATATGAGTTTACCAAGATTAAAATAATTAAATAGCAGTTTCTGTAATATCGCCCAACTCTAATGGATATTCATTATAGTGACATTTCTATATTTAAAGTTATACATGTTAAAGATGCTTTGGTAACTAGGCTATTAATGTATGTTTTAAAGTAATGTCTAAATTCATTAAATTACTAAGACTGAGGCTGGAAGTAAAGTCCCCTGCCCTTATTAAATAAATTTGGATCTAATATGTGTGCACTTCCTCCCTGTATGCCTTTTTTACCTCAAACATGCATGTGCCTTAGTAAAATTAATCTTGAAAGATTAATTGCAAATATAGTTTACTCACAATTGGTTAGTAATCTGTTGATTTAAACCCTTCTAAACAGTCGGGAAGCAACTTATTATTTACTTCACTTTCCCAGCTAGCCCAAAAGTCACTTTCCCAGCTAGCCCGAAAGTAACTTTCCCAGCTAGAAAATGTCACTATATGCTTCGTGTTTTCGTACTGCTCCCTGCTTTTTGCCAGAATCATGCCTTAAGTATCTTTTTGCAGCTATTCGCAGTTCTGTTTGTTTAACTTAAAGTTAACTGTCGTGAATATTTGTAAATATATAAAGTCAATTTTATTATTAAAAGTGCCATTTAATTTGTAACTGGCAAATTAATTATCTGTTAAATTTAACCAACTTGTTATATTGCAATGGTTTCACAGGCATCTATTTTTATAAAGTTACAATAGAAATTAATACGAATATTATTATTTGAAATATAATATATACAATAGAAGATTGTAAGTAAAATCATATACATACCTTGGGAGAACTTATTCTAGCTTTGTGTCTATACCTTGACGCTCTGCTATAATAGAGTACTTTCTCTCTCAGTATGTAATATACTATTACTCAGGCCTGTCTTTTACAATTATGATATCGTTTGTTAGTTGAAAAATGTATTTGTTAGGGTTCTCTGTTATCTTTGTTCATATGACCCATTTTCCTGTATAGTAAACTATAAAACTTAATCAAATTTGTTGGGTTAACCTAAACCAATGTTGGCTTTGTTCGATTATATGGTACCAGTACTATTGACTATCTAAAGCGTTGCCTATGGCCAATAAAAATTTGCTTTTCATAATGATGTATTACAAGGTGCAACATATTTGTTGTTAGTTATTTTATAACCAGCCCTGGTTAAAAGTCTAATGCAGTAAAAGTAAGAAAAATAATATACCTATTTGACATGTAATTTTAACTAAAAAATACAAACTAAATTCCTCGTTAAAATTGGTTTAATAAACATACACATTGCAAGTACTTTGATAAGAAATTGAATTTCCACTTAATTAACACTACATTCTTAACCAAAACATCCAGAATAATGCTTTTTTTGTACAGGTATTATAATGCTCTTATTTGTTTTATATTTTTATGCCAGTCTATTTAATTGCTTATATGACTGTTACAAATCTTTCTTGGGACCGCATATCATTCCTCGCACTGTACAACTGAAATATCCACAATTATATATTGAACAAACACTTTAACCATCCTTTTCCAGATAAAAAATATAAAAGACAATGTTGAATATTATATAGACTTCAACACGGAGCCCGATTTCGAAGATAACGAATTTATCTATGATGACATCATCGGTATGGACGAGGTTGAATTATCTGGTGTTGGCCTTCCATCCTCCGCGACGACGGACAGCAATGATACCGGCGGTACACCTACGTCCATGATTTCCGGCTCCTCCCCGCCACCCACGTTGTCTCCGCCCCTTTTGCTGCAACCCATCCCATCGGCGCCATTGTCTCTGACGGCGATGGCGGCGACAGCTATGACAACGGTGCACAACTACAACAATCATTCCGCTTCAGAAAACTCGAATGAGGATAGTAAAAAGATCGTAGGCAACAAGGATCTACCTAAGGTAAGAAAAAAGTGATATTTACACTATCTAACAAGGGTGATTGATTGAAACCAGTACAATGGTAGGTCCTAATGTGTAGTGCGTTAACCAACGTTTCAGGCAAGATATGCTTAATTATATTTGTACCTGAAAGGCATAAAAAGAGCAAATTGATTTAATCCCAACCTTTCCATGGTAAGGAGGGGATATTATTGTCCTCAAACTAATCAAATCAAAAAAAGCTTTATTGTCAAAGATAGAAATATAAAATAAAACAGTAGGTACAAAATAAAAGGTATATAGTACATTCATTTAGTTTACACCGATATTCAATTAAGTACTGAAATAAGTTGTAAATTACTTATTCTTATTTGTCTTTTTTCATAATTCAAAATGAGACAGGCAGCGACAGTATTCTGCCCGTCTTTGATGATATATAGATTCCATCAGTTTCTCACATATTATAAAAACATGACAAATACCACAAAAGTGAGTCATAGATTGATGTTAAGAATATGATAAGACATCTTTTTATTTTTTGTGGTCTTCACCATGGAGGAAGGATAGTTGAGAGTTGCCATGTCTTTGTAGAAATTTGGCAACAAGTTTGCTTGCAGCGACCTGTGGGTGCGGGTGGTTGAACTAATCCTACTCTGTCGGTAACGTTTATTAACTACGCTATTACTCTGTTGGTAATGTAGTTACCCGTAATATATTTAATTTGAAAATTGGCGGGATTCTTTTCTACTAAAAGGAGAATTTACTTTAGCAATTATTATTTTCTATCTAATATGAAATATAACCATGCAAAATTTCAGATAGTTTTTTTTTTTTTTCATTTTTAATTAAATAAAAAACTGTACGTGTAGATAAACGTTAAATATGTTCCTCTGAAGCCACTTTTTCAAAATTTGGCCAAATTTTGATGGCAAAAAATAGCAAAATTTTGTTTGCGTAAAGATTTTCTCAATTTTTGAGAAAATTAAATCAAAGGTACATATTTTTCATTCACAATAAAAATGTTCATGGTTCTATTTTGTATTTATATAGATTGATCATCATTGTTTTTCAAAATAAACATAAGCTTATATTTAAAGGCTGAAAATTTGTTTTAAACACATTTTTTCTAAACTGATTTTGATCAATGAACATTTGCGAGGCAATATGGCCGCTCACAAAATAACCCGCTTTGAGCAATCTATACAATAATATATGTATCTTTGACCCTGTCAATGACGGCAGGCTACAGGGTTGCCATATCTAAACTGTCAGTATTTTGACAAGTCGTTGGAATGACTAATTGTACTCGCAAAATCAATCTAGCCCCCATGGGTACCGTTTAGATCAACTGTACTCAACCTTTTGTTCCTTAGGGCCACATAAATGTGTTTGTTATGTTGCATGGGCCACAATATTTTTGGGTGATAACCTGAGTTGCCACCTTTTTGAAATGTAAGTAAAGCACACAATTTGTTTCAAAAAAGGACTGTAGGTTATTCCTAATAATAGTGTTTGGTGCTGCACAGAAAAGCTTTGAGGGCCGCGCAAAACAGCTTGGAGGGCCGCAGGTTGAGAATGGCTGGTTTAGATCCAGTGTTAAACTATAGGTTTAACATGGATATGGATATCTTATTGAAGATAAATTTGCATATTTTCGTGAAAAAGTGAAAAGTTTTTATTTAATTTATATAAACAAACAATAATTATTTAAATAAATAGGCTATTATGTTAAAAATGTTTTTAATTATTTCATTAGAGCTCCACTCCACATGCTTCTAACAGCTTTATCACTGTGACCATTTCTACTTATATGATTATTGTTGAATTGTTTACGAATACCCCATTTGTTTTCAATGGGGTTAAATTCACATAATATTTATTTTCATCATTTAGTTAACATTTCAGGATTCATGTTGTCACGATAGTCACATTTCTTAGATTTTGAAGTAAAATTAATTGTATCAAAAATAAAGCGATCCTTGTTACCTACATGGACAATTATGTGTCTTTATCCCTCATTTGCACTGTGACGGCACACCCCCGGTACCTCCTTTTTGTTCGTTGTTTTACTCTTTGAAATGTTATTATTTACCTCACAAGTTTTACTTTAAATTCTATACTTACTGTAATTGGCCCTTTTTCCTTAAGTAGTAGAAGTGATCGTCTAGTTAATTAATTGATAATTTATATACCCACGTTGTGATAATGTTAATTAAGGTAAACCAGGATTCGATGCAAAGTTTGGTAAATAAAACATACAAATTCATGTTTAAACTCTTTTTATTTTTCATACTTTAAATGTGATGCAATAATTAGCAAAGTATATTACAATTGTTACTATTTACTGAGATCTCACTTGAGTCCCACTCAAACGCAGACCATATTCATTTTCTATCAATATATATTTTATTTAGGTTGATGACCAACTGAGTTAACGAACAGTGCCAATTCGCCAGTTGGTTAACTATTGTGTTGATGTTGATTTGATTCTATTGTACATATACACAGGTTGCACCCTCTTAGGTAAATATTTCGATGAGTATAAAGGTGATGACCAACGGAAGTAACGAACAGCTCCAATTCGCCAGTTGTTTACTATGTTAATTCCACATACACTTTGTTTCAAACCTAGTAGAAGGGGTTGCTTAGCATATAGGTGTCCCCCCTTGAGCTAACGAACAGTGTATTCACCAGTTGGTTAACTTACTATTAAACTTTACCATCTTGGTTTGCACAATTTATCCAAGATAGCACATCCCTGTATATTTCTAAAATATCGATTTTTATAATTTCTATTGAATTAACTTAATACAGCCCTGTATATTTCTTAATATTGATTTTTATAATTTCTATTAAAATACTCAAAATTTTACCCATCGAAAACAGAAGTCTATCCTAACTGTCTTTCGGGGTGTATGGCCTGAAGGCCATGTGGTTTATTGGTTAAATTGATAATATTTTGTAGCAAATGTCAAAAGCCCTCGTTTAAACGAAACCCCGGTGGTATATCAAAGAAAGTTACATAAATCCTTTGACTCACCATTGAAAATGCAGACATTAGATTATGTACTAATTTCATCTAGCGTTGTGACGGCGTAGATTTATGTACGTCGTAGCGTTGAGCGTCGTGGTGGGAAGGAAGCTATTTAATACGGTACTGCATTGGGAAAGATCTACGGTAGAATTATGTAGGTGGTGCGGGACGTGACGAAGGGGGTCGACAAGGATATAATGAAGGAAATATTTAGGGACGGCAAGCGTCGGAAATAAGGCGTGGGACGTTGACAGCGTTCGGGAATAGGAGATATTGTAGGATAGACGTTGTTTAGGAAGAACGTTTTTAGGAAAGCTACTTACTACTGAACTTGAAATATAACTGGGTACAAATAATGTTCCAATATTAATAATTATTAAAATAGCGCGTTATTAATAAAAAATAAAGTTATCGTAGTACGCCCGTGGGAAACGTGACGTAGAATGTTCGAAATTGACAGTCTGGCGTCCAAATTGTCATGCGCACTGACCATTTTTTTCACCCATGTCGGCTTAGAAATTAGGAGTAGGGTTTATGTCATATAGCCATCCAGTTTAATATCAAGGTCGGTGTGCGTAACACGCTTTAGGAAAACGATTTAATCCATACAAGAGCAGTGTTGGGCGTATTACCCTGCGACGTACGCAGTGCGATATACGCAGCTAGTAAAACGTAGCTTAATTACGCAACCAACAATACATCAATCATCTGTGATTCCTGTAATTTTTAGTTCACGTACTTTTATATAGATGGCACCAGCTGAAAATCAAGCAACGTTGTAATATTTTTATGAAGTAGCGGAAAAGGAAATTCCTTATTTGATTACAAAAATGATGTAATATTTATGTATACAATATTTTAAATTTGATTTTGGAGAAACAGAAAACAAATAATCTAAAAACCCTTTTTTAAATGTTTCAATTTTATTTTACGAAATATAAAAACATAATTTGTCAGATAATAAAAATAATAATTCTACCTAATAAGAATACTGCACAGATATGATATCCACCAATTTCAGTTCATATTTGGTCATCAGACTACTATTTTTTTTTTAATTCTAAATAAATGACAATTCTATTAAACTAATAATTATTAGGCATTTCAAATAAAATGGTTGCCTGCCTGTGGGTATTTTTATGGCAACCCTGTGGATTTGACATAGTCCATTATATAGATAGTTATATAGATTGATCATCCATGTTTTTCAAAATAAACATAATGTGATGTTTGTTTGCTTTAAAACAACAGTTTATTTATTAATAATTTAATTAAACACTTATTTATTTTATAACACAACTATTCTAATTTAAATATACTTCGAATGTCTTTAAACTGATCACTATTTATATTCATCACTGTCTATCTACTAATTACTATTTATCTCCACTGTCCATATAATAACTGATTCTGATGGGTCCTCCTCCAATATTTATATACAAATTTTAAAAATTGGCGAATGTTCTAGTAAGTTCACATATTCTCTCCAATATACTAGAAACATTATCTCGTTCTTTCTCGAACATCATCGAAAGCACCTCCACCATAGTCGTCCCATAGGTTTGGTCTTAAGGGGTGTAATTATGTATAATAAGCGGACAGGTTGAGCCTTAAAGGCCAAATAATACAGAGAGGGACTTGGAGTATTAGAGCATGACTCAATAATGAGATGGCTCACATTACAATAAACTTATGCCTTGAAATAAAAATAATAATTATTTTTTTGACCATATTCATAGGCTGAAAATTGTTTTTAAAACACATTTTTGACCCTATCAAAGCCCACAGGCAGCAATTTGTACAGATATATGGAATGCCTTAATTGTCAGTATATATTTTTTAGTTATTGAGATTAACTATAATTAAAAATAAGCGATTCTTGTAAAAAATTGGTAAATAATAGCACACCCGTCTATATTTTCAAATACATAAATCGTAAATTTTAATAAAACTAATTAAAATGAATTATTTAATTAGGTATGAGGGT